AGAATTTTCAGATGAATTAGACAAAGGTCCTGTCCTTAAAGCAGTCAGCTCTACTCTTCATTAGACTTTAAGGTCACATAGGAGGTCAGCCATACTTAGAACATAGAGATTTTATATCTGCGGCTCTTTTATGGAGTATGAGTACTTTCTCTAGTCCTGTAGTTTTTCTATATTTAAGGTGTGCTCTCTGAAGGTCACCATGTAAAATTTCTTTCTGAATATTCACGTAATAATGGAGAGAAAATGGCTAGAAAGGATAAATGTTCTTATCCGTGTTGCTTTTCCAGCGAAGAATGGAAAATGGGGGACATGGGCAGCGAGGCAAAAGCTGGGTCAGCCATGGCATTCAAGCAAGATTGAGAAAGCATCTCCTGTTTTGACTAAAATTGAGTTTAGGTCAGAGCCATGGACAGGAAAGAGATCACGCCAACCCTTGCAAGGCAGCTAAGCATTTGGAGCTATTTGAGACAAAGCTCACTGAGAGACCTTCTAAGTGTGAGTGGGCTGCATTCAGGGGCATCCCAGAAGTCTGCAAGCCAGTGGTCTCCCTGCTGTCACAGCCAAGAAGGTCCTGGGGGAAATGTCAGAGAAAGTCTAGCCTGAGGAACCGGGCACCGAGTCCCGCCCTCTGACCCTAGCACGTGGGAGTCAGTGCCCAGGGATCTCCGAGTCCATGGGCCCAGGCCAACCACTGTGTGCCCTGAGCCCCACCGCTGTGCCCTGAGCCCCACCTCCCCACTGTGCCCTGACTCCCACCTCGCCGCTGCACCCTGAGTGCCAGCTCCCCGCTACGCCCTGAACCCCACCTCGCCTCTGTGCCCTGAACCCCAGCTCCCCGCTGCACCCTGAGACCCACTGCTGTGCCCTGAACCCCGGCTCCCTGCTGCACCCTGAGCCCCGCTGCTGTACCCTGAACCCCAGCATCCCAGCTGCGCCCTGAGCCCCACCTCACCGCTGTGCTCTCGTTCAGGTTCCTCTTGATGATGGGCGTGCTCTTCTGCTGCGGAGCTGGCTTCTTCATCCAGAGGCGCATGTATCCCCCACTGCTGATCTAGGAGCCCGCCTTCAACGTGTCCTACACCAGGCAGCCCCCCAACGCCACTCCAGGTCAGCCCACCCCTCGTCCTTGTCTCTGCTCTGTGCACTTTTTGTGTCCTCTGCAAGCATTTGTGAAAGTCACTGCTATGGAATATGCTAGAAGAGAAAATTCAGCATCATTTGATCAGCATCAACATGATCACCCTCACTGTGCATTTGTGTCGATATAAAGTGCAGCGTCTATTGGGCTGTATGTCTGTTACCTCATATTCTTACCTAATTAGTGGTGCACCTTTTATGCATGTTTTTGCAGTTCCTATAACCATATTGTTTGCTCCCTGTCATCACCCTTAAAAATTATTTCGTGTATACATTTCTATACAAGCAGTAGGGTCCCTGCCATCATAATGCATTGGGACTAAATATTAATTATGCTACTAAATGGTGATTTGCTTAGATATTCTGTCATTGCTGACCATTTGTTTTCTCTTGGTTTGCTTTTTATTCATTCATTCAACAAGTATTTACTATGCATTCACTTGTATTCTGAGTACTTATAAATAGAGCACATTTTTGCACAAGTTACATTTGGCCTAA